CAGAGGATTTTTATGGCGACCCCAGATACAAAAAGATGACATATCTAAAAGCTTCTGATGAATAGTTAAGTAATTAATCAGATTTTTTTTATGAAAAGATGTCTGAGCGATAACATCAGATACAGCAAAGTTTGATTCAAAGCCAGAGAATATGATTAGTATTCTTATAATACGCTGAGTCCATATTTTGTGCTGATTGTTTGATGAGACACCCCCACAGATCCTGCAGCCTTGTTTTGCGATCACAACTTTTCAGAAGCTGCCAATCCTCATTTGTGTGAACTGTTGCTAGCTCCCCATCTCGCATGTCGTTTCTCTCCCAGCATATTTTGAATGCTCGGTTTTCATGCTTTGAAATAATAATATTCGCTCCCTCACAGTGGTGGATGAAATACTCAATTGTGTGACTTAAGTAAAGATACAGATACAGGGGCAAACGGTTACTCAAGTAAAAGTAATACATGAAAAAGTCTACTTAAGTAAAACTAATGAAGTACCTGTTTAAGAATATACCTTAAGAGTAAAAGTATTTTGCAGAGGTTTTAAAACAATTAAAGCATCTGTGAGCTACTGTGCCCAAATAATTTCCCTTGTGGATCAATAAAGTTTGTCTAAGTCTAAATTTAAGTCTATCAAATGTTATTTTGATAAATAATTGTGTTTATTTTAAGTGATTCAATTGATTTCTTAATTTTTCTAGCTGTTTTTGTGTATTTGTGTATTTAGTTTGCTCAAAGTTGGGTCATTAACTCTAATTAAATGTGCTAAAATGAAGTCTCAGCCATTTCAGCAGGTCTCACACCATAAAGAAAATAACTTTTTACTTTTCAGTCCATATACATACAGAGGAGTAGAAATTACAGATTCCTGCTCTCAGTTGTAGCAAAGTAAAAGTAAAAAGTATCCATTGTAAAATATACTTAAGTAAAGTACAGATACCTAAAAATTGTACTTAAGTATTGTACTTTTGTTCTTTGTTACCTTCCACCACTGCTCCCGCATCCCTTGGTCCCAAACTCCCTCTCTCCTTTTTAATCTTCTTTTTTTTCTTCTTCTTCGTCTTTGTTTTTGTTTTTGTTTTTTTCTTACAATATCCTTGTTTTATTACTGTCCTGCCTCACAAAGCTCCATATGTTTTGCATAGCTCACTGGCTTGTGTCTTCTGTGGTCTTGCTTTGTAATGAATGTATCCTATTCCCCAAACAAATGTCTTTCAGTGTTTGCTTCCTCCAATCTTGTTTTATTTGCTTTTGCCGCCATGGGCCCATCCTTATCAGGTCCAATTTTACTAGCTCTATACGTATCGTGGTTTAATATGGAGCATAAGGTGGACTATCTTGATTTTTGCGCTGAATCAACAAAAAGAATGAATGAGTTTTTTTCTCCTTAAAGGTGCATTGCACAACTTTTCCAATGGAGGTCCATTACCTGCTTGTCTTCATGGAGATGTTATTGCTTTGTTTAGAATGTTCCACAGTAAAGATTAAACCTATCGATCTTAAGGGAGACAACTGTAGCCTACATTATAGGTCAGATCTGTGGAGATGCAACCCCATTCACCAAGAGAATTACTGCATTTTTGAGCAGTAAAAACACCTCTAATGATTAAATGCTAGATAGATGTGTTTATTTCAATACAAAAATTCAACCTTTTTATTTAATGATAAAACAATATGTAAAAATTCTGAACATGTAGAAACCACAAATGAAGCTCTGTAGTCCAAAGCAGTGAGTGATTCTTTTGCTTGAGTAATATTAAAGGGTGATATTTCTATAGGCTTTTGCTCACGTTTCGCTCCATCCTTTCACATCTTCTTATCTTGACCTCTGTCCCAGACACTACATTATTCCCATGGTTGACTCCTTTAATCTTCCATCCCTCTCCTCATCCTGCCTGATTTTCCACTCTGCTCATTTGCCTCCATTTCCAAGTGCACCACCCCTCCCCCGTCTCCTCCACCTAATCTCCCCTCAATACTTCTTTACTCCCATCCATTAGCCATTATTGAGTTTTCTTCTTTGTATCAGCATGCTCACGTTAGCTTTACTGCATCTACTAAATATCTAACGGCACACTCGTTTTAACAAAACAACTACACAATCAGAGACACAATGTGGATGTATTGAACAGCTTGCTGACAGTTCCAGCTATACGCACCCACCCAGCCCTCTCCACCCTCATTCAAGGATTCCTTGCGTCTAATAGCTGGTAACTCATTTAGCACTTCATGTTAGCTCAGCTAGATCCAATTACACTATAGAAGAGAAAGCGTGTAGTTTGAGTAGGGGGAGCATTTAACCTTGTGGCAAAGGGAATGGTAACATACAGTAGCACTAAATCTGTGACAGCATCAGACAGAGTGAATCCTGGAAGCTGCAGCCTATATTAATAATATATACATATAAAACATACAATACAATATTGTTGTAGACTAGAATAAAATATATGTAATCAGTAGATTATTAAAAGGGTTTTACACAACTTCTCTTTTGTTCAAACATTCAACATCATTGTCTGTTGTTTTCCCATGAAGACATGGAGTTATGTGTTATTAACTGTGTGCTGACCAAAGTGTACTTGTATGTAGGCGTGTATGTCAAGAGCATAATATCATCCATTAAAATATAATGTAAATACACATATAGTAATGCATGCTTCCTCCATCAGACCCCGACTCCGAAATTCCAATTTCTCATGAATAACTCCAAGGCTTTTAATTAAATACGTTCTTATTAAAATAAAAGCCCTCAAAATGAGCCACATGTAAATTGCACTTGATGCATGTTTTCTGCAGAATGATGGATTTGCTGATATAAAATTAGTTAAACACAGTATGTGTTTGTTATTTTGTAAGAACCAGTTGCACTGATCAGGTATAAAACCACAGACACAGGTACAAATAACTCAGATGATCAGATCCTCAGAGGTGTATCGAACAGTCATTGAACATTTTGTCATCATTGCTTTTGTGAAAAAAGGTTAAATTTAACAGATCTGAGCCAGGCCAAAATGTGACTGGACCACTAGGGTAATCTCCATCTTTTGAGGGGTGTTCTCTGTCTGCAGTTGGTAATGCAGTAATGAGCAATATTAGGCAGGAGGCTACAACCTATAATGCTATATGAACCACCTCAGGTGATCTAAGCATTCCTATACATAACAAAGGTGTATGTTTTACATTGTATTGTGATAGGCAACATTTAATTTACAAGTTTTTAAGTAGCATGTTTCAAAATGTGTTACTTATACCTTTATATCTACATGTACTATATTATGTATAAAGTGGTCCCTTCACACAAGTGAATTCTCCCATTGTCTATTTTCACACCATCGGTATCATCTTTTAAATCACTTCTTAAAGCCTGTTTTCATCAGTTGGCCTTTCTTTAACTGGTTTTAGCTTGATTTTATTCCTTATTTCTTTTTATTCTATTTCTTTTTATTTATTATAATTCATTGGATTGTTTGCACCTTTGTCTGTTTTTGTATCCTTTCTGTTTGCTATTTTTATGCTTTTTGTATTGTTCATTGCTGCTTGTACAGCACTTTGTAAACCTTATTTTTAAAAGTGCTTTATAAATAAAGATTTATTGTGTTATTATTATTATTATTATTATTATTATTATTATTATTATTATTATTATAAAGCTCAAGATATCACCTGCATACTTGCTCCATATATTTAAACATTTAGTTATTTTTCTACCTCAAGGAAATACTCCACAGCACTGTTCTTGGCCATCAGACTTACCAGGACATTTTTAGTATTGACCTCAAAGAACTCCAAAACTAAAACTTATTTTGAAACATGGCATTTTTGTTCTTATACAACAACATTCAAACTTTCCTCTTTAGATGTTTTAGAATTTCTTTTAGCCATTGTTCTTTCTGGTGACTGACAGATGCTACTGAGACTTGATCCAAGCAGCTCGTTTCTGCATGTAATTAAAGGAATAATACATCAAGAGTCATAAGAAATATATATAAATAATGAGTCAAGTCTGTGCTTTGGTTAATTACAGAGAAAGGAGGACAGAAGTGATCACAGCCCAGTAGGACACTTCTTTAAACGCACAGTGTGACATTATGAGGGTGGTAGTGAGCTCCTCTCCACTTTTCTTTAGAACACAGTGGGAGAACTAGACAAACTCAATCTGTACTTTGTTTTCGGTTGAGAGTAAACTAACTGTTACTTATAGTCCCCTGCTGGTTATGAAAAATACACAGATAAACGTAACACAAATGTATTTACCCACACAATGTTTACGAGAATGACTAATTATCATAAAGGTGCACTTTACTATTGCTATGACACCACCAGCTACAGGTCAGATTTGTGGAAAGGCGATCCTATTTAAGTAGTTTTGAACACTAAAAACACTGCAACTTGATCAATGTAATGTCATATTGTGGAACATAGAGCAAAGCAAAAATATCTTCAACAGAGACAAAAGGTGACAGACCAAGAACCTCCATCAAAATCTAGTGCACCTTTAATTCAAAATTTCAAAATATACTTGTTGGACTTTGACAGTTCCAGAAAAGAATGCACCTAATAATATTTTTATGTTGTTCCAGTACATTGCCGGAGGTATTTTTAAGGATTCTGTTTCGGCCAAGTCACAAAGGGCTATAAGACTAACAAATAGTTGAATTCAGTGAATACTTTATGATTAGAGGATTTCAAAAGCATACTGCATCTTTATTATTGCTAGCAAATGTGATTCAAGCCATAGAAAAACATTAAAAAAGCCTGAAAACTCTATGTAATTCAATTTCAATGCAAAAAATTCAATATACTTGCTGTTCAACATTTCTTTCTTCAATATGCAAACAACCAAAATCAAAAAGCACAGTCTACCAGGCACCAACATACGCACACCTTGAATCTTTTGATCATATGGTGTACACATGACACCTGTAACCATAGCGACACATCAATGTACAGACTACACCTCGCATACATTCCAGCTCTAGCATCCATAGGCTTTGATCTTACCTGGGGTCTTTCTGGATGGAGTCGATAGAGGGTGAGCGCTGCAGGCTTCCCTCAGGCGGGAGAGCAGGTCCTGACTTGCTATAGGGCGATTCCACCACAGAGGGGCAGTACTGGAGGGTTCGATAGGGGTCCGCCACATAGGGATCTGAACCGTAGACATCACCACTGCTCGCGCTTGAGGTGTACCCGGGTCCGACTGTGGCGTAGTTGTTGGTCCCGCGACTGTAGTTTCCGGTGGCATTGCCGTGACTCCCTGTGCGCTGCAAGGGGGCGGAGTCCACACCGGGGGAGGAGGGAGCTAGCGGGGGCAAGTAAGGACAGAGGACATAACGTAAGGATTGGTCATGAACACGCTGGGTTTGGTCTAAGGATGGAGAGAGTTAAAAAAGGATAAGAAAGGAGCAAGAGAGGATGTGAGAGTGTAAACAGATTATTTGGCAAAGCTGAGTGTTTCCATTTATACAGAGAGTTACTGGCAGAATGCCCAGAATAAACAGTAACAGTAACATTAAAGAAGGATTGCTGCAATAAAAGACTCAAATACATCTAATGTGTTTGGTTTAGTCATTGCATAAAGTCAAGAAAGGAGAAAGTTCAAAAAAGTAAAGATTGCAGTTGCAGAAATGAAACTGAGTAAAACTATAGCTTAAGTAAAAAAGCAATTAGTAAGTAGAATGTTTACCACTATAAGATTCAAAGGATATTACTGTACTGGATATAGCAGTTTGTTTTTCAGGCTCAACAACTTTTTTGTTTTAGGGAAATCCAAAAGTGTGTCAGTTCTCATAATACAGATTTCTTGTACTTCCAAATGTGTGAAACAGAGCTGAAAAACACAAATTTCTTTTTTACTGATGGAAGAAAGATTGAGTTTGGCAAAAGTGCAAACCTATGTGTTTCATGTTGTATCAGTTATCAAGTTATGAAATGTTTTAAATTTATAATGACTTCATTTTAATGGCCAAAGTTTCAACCACTTTAGAAAATGGTCGTGGTACTTTAGGAAATAGGGGTGGGTGGGGGTTGTTTTAAAGATTGCACTTGAAATACAATATTTTAATAATAATAATCATAATGCATCGGTTTTATATAGCACTTTTCTGGACACTCAAAACATTACACAGCATTGTTCATTCACTCCACACTCGGTGGTGGTAAGCTACTATTGTAGCTACAGCTGCTCTGGGGCAGACTGATGGAAGCGAGGCTAACAATCTGCGCCATTGACCCTCCAACCAAAACCATCACTCATGCACACACCACTTTCATTCTAGGCAATGTGGGTGAAGTGCATTGCCTAAGGACACAACGACACAACACAGCGTTTTTGCGACTAGCGCCCCACTGTGGCACCTGGAATTCCCAGTAGTATTCCATCCAAGTACTAACCAGGCCCAGCCTTGCTTAGCTTATGAGATCTGACAGGATCACGTTTTAACAAGCTGATATGGTCACAGTTTTAAACTATATATTGTTTTTTTTGCTGCTAATAACCTGGACTTGAGTATACTGTTACGTTTCTGTGTACTATTTATAATGAAATGACAAATAAATTCTCTTTCGGATTCTGATTATTATTATTTTTTCCCTATGCCATGTAGTATCACACCTGTCTCCTGTCTGCACCTGTCTTTCTGCTATTAACATCTGTTCTTACCATTTTTAAAGGCCACACTCATGCTACAATTGTAATGATTCTAACGAAGCCCTGAAAAAGACTGTGTATTGTTGAAACATGTTGTCTTTTAAAATGCTTCTTTTTACTATAATTTTCCTTGTGCAACTTTTACAGCAAGTTTGATCCTCGTTTTTCCCAAGAGTACCCTCCACCTGTTTTCACTGATTGTAGCACCTCACCTCATTTTGTTTTTCTATATTAAATTTATTACTAACAATTTCAATACTGCAGCACAGTATTGACAGCTAAACAAAAACATGCTTACTCTTTTTATTTGTGAATTGATTTGGGATTTGTTAGAGGGTATCAGCTGGCTGCAGGGGCACTGTAGCTGTCACCATCCTCCCCATTGTGTCTTAGCTGTAGATCGGCCATATATCAAGGTGTTAATGTGAGTCCGGGGCGCCCGTTGCTGTGGCTGTAAAAACACTGAGACAGTCTGTGTGTGTGCATGCGCGCGTGTGTGTGAAAGAAAGGCGGGCGTATCTCATCTGTCATTATCGGCCTAGAAAACACAAGTACACACATGCAAAAACAACATAAATATGCACTTAGCAGGACAAGCCGATACATCACTGCCTTAAAATCAATATTAAAGGATTGACCACGGCTTTCACACTGGCCAATGAAATCCTTAGTTCACAAAGGGCCTTTAAACAGGAGAAGACACCAACAACACCAGTGTTGCGCTTTATAACACTAGCTTGCAAAGGAACACATTTGCACATTTTACAAGCCCCCACACAGATAAATCCTAAATTAGCAAAGGAAAAACAGTAGGTGTGGAGTGTCTCGTTGTTATGTGATCAACAAACGTGCTATTTAGTGTTGTCTTGAGTGGTGGCATTTACTTGACCTTCACAACCTTGTATTTAATCCTCGTCCTCCAAGTGCACAGCCTAAACCTGCGCACCTTTTTCACACTGCATCGCAGATTGAACCAATTACTAACAACTGATTTTAATGCAGCTATTTAAATTCTTCTCACCAACTCAGATAAACTTCATTAGTCAGCCCAGCGCCGTAAACTTCATTAGTCAGGCCACCAGAGGCACAAGGAACCTCTTTAGATGATGTAACAGGCATTAGCATATTTTTATTTCTGAACACGCAAATCAGGTTAATAAAAACGCACTTGCCAGCCAGACAGAAAAACACTCAACTTCTCTGCCTTGCAATACCCACGAGGCTGAAAGACTGTGTGCTAGCTCTTGTATCAATGCCCCAAATTTGACACAGATGCAAAGAGTTAGACGGGCCTAGAAATTGAGTGAATGAGGCGCTTAGAAAACAAGAAAGCCACAATACTAGGACAGTCTTAGAAATATGGGTATAGCAAGAGTCGCAAAGAGATTTCATGTCAAATGCGATCTGCAGCGTGTTTGTCTTTGTGAACGTCTCATTAGCAAAAAAAGGTTTGAGGCTAACATTGCAGACACCACTGAACACGTGCCAAGAGGTTTGGCACCAAATAGGGCAAACGTTTAAAAGCAACGAATTAAGAGAGCAGATCAAAAAATGCACTGCCAATTATCTATCTATAGCCTGTGAGGATTGCAAATACTGGGGTTACACAATACTAGATCATTATGTCTGTAAAAGTTCCTCCAATTATTAGTCGATGAGTTGCACAAACACACAATCACTACTTCAGAGCTTAGATCATGATTTTAAAATATATTCGTAATGCCTTCAGGAGGTAATAAAAGCTCTATTTCTTCTCAGAGTTCATGCTTCACTGTTGGTTAAACCCGCCTGTCACTTGGACTCGAGTCAGACTTGAGTCACTATTTTTAGAACTTGACTTGATAAAATGGACTAAGACTTGGGACTCTACTTAGACTTGACTCTGACCTGAGCCCTGTGACTTGAAAAGACTTGATGCTTTTCCTAAAAAAATATGGTTTTAGAAAATACTTGTCTCTTTACAGTTCATACATATGGTGCTTACTTTTATAGGAACAAACTGGAACATGTTTCTCCCATTTCTGTTTATTACTTTGGATGTAAATGAAGTGCTGTGATGGTATCCTCAAATGTACTACAGTAATATACACTACAATGTAGTAAAACAGAGGGACCTACATAGAACATGATCCTTCCATTTCAGTGCAGACTACATGACAAAACAACTGTTATTTAGCACTTTTAAATCTTAATTCTTTCTGTTCTGACTGTAATGCATCACAGCAAGATCTAGTCAAGACATTTAAAAAGGAAAAATGTGCATTTCTACTCTTATATAAATATTCATATATGTATATACCATGACTTTTTACCATTTAGTTTAAAAACAATATAAATGGCAAAAATTTAAGCTATATTTGGTACTTTGGTTTAAAGACTTGAAATGACTGGAAGCTCAAAGCAGACGACTTGGACTTGACTTGGACTTATGGGACAGTGACTCGAGACTTGACTTGGACTTGCCTGTCTTTGACTTGGGACTTGACTCGGACCCGAGTTCAAACACTTGAGACTTACTTGAGACATACAAAACAACGACTTGGTCCCACCTTTGCCACCTGTCACTCACTAAGATCATGAGACTGACCAATAGGAGGGCTAGTTGGTTAAATGTCTGTATTTGAGCATAAAGTAGTATTAAACAAGGAAAAATAGCAGATTGTCACAGGAATGTGACCACAATTCAATGTTTATCATTGTATCAAGCCCTACCTCCAACATTGCAATTCCCTATTTATTTCCATTGTGTTGCTTTGTATTCAGACCCTTGAAATGTTCGATTTTCTTCGCCATTCATTCTTTCCTCATCTTCGCCTCTTGTATTTTGTTCCTACCTTAACCAAATGGTGCACTGCTGAAATATCATTTGCTAATGGTGTGCTCTGAGTGATGACTTGACCTTTAGGGCCAATATTGCTTGGAAAAATCACTGTGAATGGGCCTGCTTGTGTTATGTGTGTGCGCGTATGTGTGTGTGTTGACCTGTGTGTGCTTCAGTTTGTGTATTTGCTGTGGCACCCAAGTTTTATCAATCTGACCTAACCTAATCAAGATTGAGCACCGCAGCTAACAAATCATAATAGATGTTCTAGAAAATCACTTTAGTGAAACAAAAGTGTGATTTGGTGATATTTCGTGATATATTTTCCTGTGCAACAATTTCATGAAATTTTAAACAAATCTTCAAATGCGCCAACAAAGTCATGCATGGAGCACTTGTGTCAGGATCGCTCTGGTGACGGTGGCGTGAAATTGTGTTTGAGGGGAAGTAAACAGACGGGTATGTCTTTGTGGTCCCGGGCTTTGGCGCACAGTAAACAAATCACGGCTGCGCTCCTGCTGGCAGATTAGCGGTGGGAAGGAAAAGTCTATTAGTCATTTGACACAGTGATACCTCTGCAATTAGGCAACTAACTGAGGGCTCAGCTAGCTCACAGATTAAGAAGGTATACTTTCTATATGGTAGAATGAGTGAAAATAACAATGGTAATATATTTAAGTTTGGAAAATTGTAGTGAAATGGCATGTAAGGGTTAATAGGCACATTCATTGACTACAATTCATTCTTAAAAGTGCACTGTGTAACTTTTCTAGCGGCCACCTGCTTTTTCCCATGAAAATGTGACTGATTAGGCTGGCAAGTTTAAAGGGCT